AGAATTCCCCAGCCAGCCATGAAGTCCACTCATCTTAAAGTGGCCAAGTTTGGACAACACCGCCTTAGGCCTTATTCAGTATCATGTTCGATGCTTACGTACTGTACTGTTTCAGGCTTTAATTGCAAGAATAGCACAAAGTACAGTGACACCATAGCACGTCAGCTGGTTCAGAACAGGTCCAAATGGCGGGTGGGAGCGGGGAGTATGGGGCGATTCAATCAGTTTTGCAAGCTCTCTGCCATACTATTTGTCCCATAGCTAGGTGGTAAGTCCAACAGTAGGATAGGCAATTCTGTTTTGATTGGCAATTCTGATTAATATGACAAATCCGTTTTGATTGCTTTGATTTTGTTTTGCTTCCCAAGGTGATACAGCCAGTGTGAACAGCTTAAGTCTGTCCAGTGTACACACAAAGAGAATAGCGTTCCTCTTTGATTCAACTCTAACTGCCTTTTTAATGATGGGGAATCTTTCACCAGTAAGTTAAGTTGCTCATCTGATTGAAGCTAACATATTAAAAGCCCTTTAAATGTTCTTGGATTACCTTTTTTTAAAAAATGGAATCATGGGTAAAGTCAGTTTTAAAGCCCTGATTTGCACAAAAGGAATTCAAAAGATTATCTATATTCTTCAGGGGTTTTTTTTTCCTGTGAGTTATATCTGAAAATTACATAGATGCAGCCCAATTTGTAATAACATGTTTTGCCTTGCAGAATTTGAAAAGTCATGCAGTCACCATGTTTGAAGTAGGGAAATTGTCAGACGAGTCACTGGACAGTTTTCTTGTGGAACTTGAAAAGGTAAACCCAACTGATCCCTGTGAGTTTTCATACAACACAATTCTCACGGCAGTGATCCAAGTGTAACAGGGGTACCGTCTTGCATTAAAGGCTTTCTAATTACTGCCTACGTGTCACTCCCCAAAATCCAAAGATCATTCTTTGATCTTTGGTTTCTTTTCCTGCTGGGCAAAAGTGTAACCTTGGAAGAGTTTCTAAGATTACAGAAAGCTGCTTGAGGAGCTAGATCCAGTTTGTAGGCCAGTAGAAATAACAGTGCTCCCCTTTTCTCCCTGCCACCCCCCCCCCCATTTATTTTCATAATGTAACTCAGCACATGGTTCTTTTTTTGTATCAGTCATAACTGAAACCCTCTGTAATTGAATTGCTAGAAAAAACAAGAAGCTTTACTCATTACCTTTCAGTTATCAGATTTTTGTATCATAATTGTATTCTTCCCTTCTCCACACACACTTCACCCCCCCCTTTCTTAAAACTGATTTAAACCTTATATAGCAGGGGTGGGCTTTTTATTCAAACGCTGAGGATCATATTCGCTCAGAGATAATCGGCTGAAAGCCACATAGTGCATGTAGCTGAAGCAAACCATGGATGGGATCAGAAGCAAATATGGGTGGAGACACCCATTGCCTTTCTGACATGCTCCTCTCTTTCTCTTTCCAAAGCAGCAGACTGCAGGGAAGGCATAGAGAGCTGTAACCGGGGGGCTGAACAGATCTCTGGCAGAGGAGCTTTGAAATTAGGCCGAGAGCCAGAAGGTTTCCACCCCTACTATATCAGGATCCATTTATATAGGTAAGCTTTCTGTTCATAGTCATACGTAGCTATTTACCTGCACCCAAAGCTAACCCATAAAAATGGATCCAGCAGCGTTAACTATCTGAAATACTGAATTTTGCCTTCCATTTTTCATATGGTACAGGTTACGCAAGTGATAGGAATATAACAGCTATTAATGTAATAGATATTTTTGCCTTTCGAGTGTCAAAGCAGCTGTGACATATTCATAATCACTGAGTTGGGAATGTTGTGTAATACAGTACCTTAATTCAATTTGTTGTGGCAACCATATTTGCACAGACAGTACATATTTGTCTTCTCTTATTTAGGTTCAGAGTACAGGAGAGGGTGAAGCTCAAAGATACTTTGATCATGCTCTTACCCTGCGAAACACTATCCTGTTTCTGAGACACAATAAGGACCTCGTGGCTCAGGTTACACAGGCTGAGCAACCCAGTAATGGTACAGTGAAAACATCTGTTTTAGTAGAAAGCTGCTATTTTATGTGCTCAGTGCTTTCTCTCTTGCCAGTCTTACTCATCAGGCAACTCTGTTCCAAATACGTGATCTATCATTTGGGAGCAGAGAATTGCTGCTTGTGGTTTTTATCTTCTAATGATTCATTTTTGTGTGGTATTAACATTGCATGAGAGATGGAATGAGATCTGTACTATATCTAAGGCCAGAAAAGAATTCAAGCACGATGTAGAAACAAAATCAACCGGATATACACACTTTCGTAAGGTCTAGGCTAGGGTTTGTACATAGGTTGGTTGAAAAGCATTTCCAAATGTGTTATTTTATGTGGAAATACTCTGAGAACTATATTTAGATTTAAGAGTAAATTGCAGCCCCTAATTAAGAAAGGCAAGTTGGAAAAAGAAATGGTTTGGTGTCTTTTGTGAAACCAGCCCATTTTCTTCACTACCCAACTAAAGAATGGCTCCCATTCTGCTAGCCCAGCTACATCTGTTCTCGTGGGTCCCCAAATAACGTGCAAGTTTATATCATTCCCAGGACTTACCAGATGCACCACTGACGCAAGCAGTTGTTTGGAAGAACATTTTTAGAGTGGTTACGAGGCAGGAGTACCTTGGAAACCACTGAGCAGTTACAGAGAGTGCTAGATTTTATTTCTCAGATTCACGCCGTTTAAATGCTTTGGGTCAACTTGACATCACTTTCACCCAGGAAGGTGTGTTTGGGTTTTAGAATCCATGGTTGCTCTTACAGAATTTACATGTCACCATTACTTCCTTCACACTTGCATTTTTTATCAATGTTAGTGCCCCATATTTTTTGCTGCCAAGTCTAAATTAGGTTTCCCTGTTCTTTTGGGATTAGCAAGGTTGCCCACCCCTGCCCATCTATCCCTTCTGTAGTCTCTTAGAATTATCTGTACCATCTTAGCTTATTTCTCAATGTTTTTTCAGTTTGTATACTTGCAAATAAAGCCCTGGACTGTAGTCCTCTTATAATTTTTACTTTACTTTTTGTGGCATGTTGGATCCAAAAACCTTTCTGGAAATAAATACGATGTTTGAGGCTGAACTGCCCACTTCCAGTTAATGTTATTGGTAGATAAAGTTCCTTATATTCATTGAAGAGGGGGGAAAACTTAAAGTGAATTGTTATTTCAGGATAAAGGATTGCTTAAACAAGGCTTCAGCTGTCACTGTATCCACAACACTGGGTTAAAAAAACCTGTTTATATAGCATCCAGTTGCTTACACAGTTGGTTTTACACAACTCATTTATGCTTCTGGAGAAACGTTAAGTTTCTAATTTAGGAATTTAACTTTTTAGTCTTGACTGTCTTATCAGTTTCTTAAATTACAAAGAGGATAATGGGCTCTTTGATTGAACAAAACTAAGGAATTTGGTCTGCTAATTTCTGATGTTCTATTTAAAAAAAGATGTGTGGACTTCGTTTAATTGTTACTGAAGTGAACAACCTACTGGCCACATGCAAACGCCTGTGGTTCCTCAAGTTTGCACTGCCAAGACTGAACAGAAAAATGTATTTGTTTCATACATTTTTGAACTGCAGAAAAAGGATGAAATATACTTGAGATCTTCTAGACAAAAAAGGATGTAAATCACTGGCCTTTTCTTTGCTGGTAACAGTGTGTGGCCCACTTTTCCCCAAGGAGATGGACAGATGGTATTTAAACTTGAGGTAGTAAACATATTTAAAAATTAAATATTTTTTCATTAGAAAGAATATCTGCACACATAAGTCAGAGAATTGTATCACAGGACATTTGTTTAAGAATTCCAAACACTTGTGTACCCAAATTGTTGCTGTTTACTGAACAGCAAATTATCCATATTTTATTGCCAAAAAAAAAAAAATTCTTTGATGGACAGGAGCAACACAACACAATTTGTGATTCAGAAATGGAGCCCATTGTTAAAACAGCAGATCAGTCTATTCATATGTTAAAATGAGATTTTCAAAAGCAATAATATTGTAGAAGTCAACTCTTCAAAATATTGGGAGGGATAAAAATCCCATTTTAGTTTCTACTTGATGTTTCTTGCCAACATTTATTATTCCATGCCTGTGTTGTTCAACTGGAAGTCCTATGGTCCGTTGCCTCTCTGTCTCTCTCTGCTCTTAGAGAAACAAGCCAAGACATACTGTGTTGATGAAAATCACTTCTGTCACTACTTTCTTGCAGTTTAGTGCTCAGTTTATAGGAGATAAAAAACTATATATTGGAATTTTATATTTTAACATCTCCCTTCATAAAGAACCAATTGTTAAAAATGTGTTTGGAATAATATAATATAGGAACTAGTATAATACTTATTATTTGGGGAGGGTGTTTTTCTTAGCACAGCTGTTTTGGTCAGGTGTTGCTTTTTATACTTAACCTTCCCTCCTCCTTCCTTTTGCAGTCAAGGGAAATTGAAAATATTGTATGCGGCGAGAAATAATGGTAATAGACTTCTCACACACTTTTGTGTTGGCTGATGTCAGCAAAAAGGGCCTAGGTTTGGTTGCCAAGGAATCTCCTTACCCATCCCAACCCCCCCTAACATTGCTCTTTAAAAAGCAAGTATTTAAGTACTGAGGAAGAGAGACCATCTAAATCTGTATTTTTCCCTCCTCTTTTCCTGTGCCCCTTTCACTTGTATATGTTCGTTTGCTATCTGTATTCCAAGTGTCTTTGACATTGTTAATGTAGGTTTTCCTCTGGATTTACTCCGCTGTGAAAGCTTGCTTGGCTTGGATCCTGCCACCTGCAGTAGAGTTTTGAACAAAAACTACACATTGCTTGTCTCCATGGCACCCCTCACCAATGAAATCCGACCCACCAGCAGCTGCACACCCCAGGTAAGCAAGATCCTGCATGAAATTCTGAACAGGTTGAGAAAAAAACGTTGGGTCATCGTTTCAAGAGATATTTACTTTCTTAAACAGAGAAACAGAATGACCAAGGGCAAAAAAGCAGTGGGAGTGGGAGTGAATTGCAACTTGCTGCTGGCTTCTCCACTGACTTTCCTTGTGGGAAGCTGGCAGAAGTCTTTCCTTCCCTTCCTCCCCACATATAATATGGGCTTGTGTCGTTTGCCCTCCCCTCATGACCCTCAGGAGAGCCCCAGTGAAGCTGCCTCCTTCTCTTCTTCCCCTTCCTCCTACTCCTCCTTGGCCTGCCATTTTGCTGGGGGGAGGTAGAACCAAGGGAGCTGTGGTCTGTGACGAAAACTGCACCCCCGCTCCCCATCCTGGCATGTCCCCAAGGGCCCCTCCCTCAAGGGAGGAAGAGGGCTCACCCATCAACTACTGGCACCCCCAGCCAGCCCTACCTTGCCAGAAGGCATCTGAATCACTCTCTCATCCTTCCCTCATTGCCAACTGCCATTAAAAGATTTCAGATTTCTGCCTCAGTTCCAAAGCAGCCAGTTGTCGATTGTCCATCAGGCCTTGCCTCCAACCGATTGGGTGCAGGGGACAGAGGGAGGCGGGAAAGAGGTCAGGAATGCGCCCAGGTGACCTGGGCTGACTGCTGCAGTGCAGTGCTGAAGCAGTCACAAATTTCACAAATTTCAATCCCACAGGACAAATGGGTCCCAGATTTTGGATGCATTTTATAAGTTAGCCTATTTGAGGTATCTTGGTTCAAAAATTGTTGCCCTATGACACACTGTTTTGCCCAGTTGAATGTTATAGACACAAGAGTTTTAGTAGTATATAGATAGCATTGTGTTGTGCTGTTTGCTGCTTCCCCTTCCAATTATTTATTTCAATACCTATCCTGCCTTTTTAAAAATCCCCCAAAGCTAATCATAGCAATTTATAATGGTTTACCATGTTTTTATTTTTTAAACATGCAAACTTAAAAAAAAAAACTGATTAGCTTTTCTGAGCAGAAAATATTTCATCCAAGAGATACTGAAAGATCTCTCATAATGAATACAAGTAGTCCCCAGTTTAAGAACGAGTTCCATTCCCAAGGTCTGTTCTTGAGTCAAATTTGTATGTAGCCAGAACAGTATTATTGTATAATACTGTATAAGTAGTATTGTGTAATTAACTCGAGCCATTGTGTATTTAACTCAAATTTTGCTACATAGGCTCCATTCTTAACTATGGGTCGTCTGTAACCCGGGTATTCTTAACCCGGAGACTATCTGTGTACAGTAAGTTTCTAAAACCTTTTTCAAAATGAACATACTTTGTGCTTTTTAATAGAGGTCTTCACAGATAACAGTTCCAAGAGTGCGTGCTGAAAACAGAAAGCCATCGGAATTTCTAATGTTGCTGACATTGAAGACTGTTATCAACCTAGGGCACTCTCATGATTTTATGAACCTAAAACCTTAGTCACACATAACTAAGCTATGGATTATTGAAGAAATCATAGTGGCCTGGATCACACTTAACGTTAAGCCAGAATTGAACTGTGATTTATTCAGCAAGTTATGCTTTTCTCAATTTACCTATAACACTAAGCCATGATGGATAGATTCACTGTCACACTAAGTTTAGCCCCCTCTTTTCTTGTTTTGTGGAAGCTGGGAAAGACAGAGCTTTTCAAGAAAGCAGTGGGAATTAAATGGAGTGAATTTATTTGTTATTATTTGTCTGCTTTGTTATAATATTATATAATATAACGGTTATCTTTTTTTCCCCCCCACTTTGGACCTTATAACATATTATAGTTTCTTTGTACTGTGATTTTGTCTTGATGTGAACCTCTGGCAGCCTATTGAGAGCATAGCAATATACAACCCTAATTAAAAAAAAAAGCAAATCACATTGTAGCTAAGCATTATGAGTAGATCAAGCCTGTGTGATCACAGAATGAAAACTATGATTGACTATTCCATTTCTTGCATCATGGAAGCCAGAGCAGCAAATGAAGGATTTCCAAGTGATCCTCTTTATGTTCTGGATTGCTAGTTACAGCTTGTGCAAGTAGAAAGCTGTATTCAGTCCCTGCCATCTCTGGTTAGAAAGATCTTGCAGCAGATCTTGGGAAAACTTTGGCCTGAGAATCAGAGGAGCCCTTGTCCTTCCAAGTTTATAAAACAGGGCTAGATGAACTCGTATTTGAAACTTTTATGTAGGAAGTTAGGCTTATAGGAACCCTTACTTCCTCCATAAAGTCCTCCTATGTGGTGTTACTCTGTTTTTGTTTATTGTTAGCCATCTAGCTGACATTAAAAAAAAATCAGAATGGAAAGCGAGTGAGTAAACTAAAAGTGGCATTTGAAATGCTTTTAGAGGGGGGCATTTCTGCTCCTCGGTAAACAGAGTCAGGAAGATGGATCTTGTAGTGATTACATAACCCAAATACTGCAACAGAAAGGATAAGGACTAGCTCCAAAGCCCCTTGCACAGCATTCGTTTCCACCGTTGCCATCAGTTGTCCTTTGGAATTGCTCAGAGGACCGCTGCAGATGTTGAGGGGAGAGGCTCTGTTTTTCCTGCTGAGCAGAATTAGCAGCCTGTGTGTTTTCATTCTTACTTCAGATGCCTTTTTAATCTTTCCACAGCATATTGGGCCAGCTATTCCGGAAGTTAGCTCTGTGTGGTTCAAGCTCTATATCTATCATATTACTGGACAAGGGCCTCCATCCTTGTTATTATCTAAAGGCACAAGACTTCGGAAACTTCCAGATATATTTCAGGTAGGGGTTTCATGCTTGCAGGGAATGAGAGTCTTCTGTAATGGCATTGTTCTGAAGTTGTGGCTCTTTTGTTGTTGCATGCAGAGGGAATCTGTAGAGGTGTTTCCAGATCAAGCCATTTTGAGTTGAAAATAGGCTCTTCACTGATAGTTTCTCAACTAAGGGCAGAAGAGCATTGAAGCATCTGAAATGGCCTGTTTGGAATTCAAAATATTTAGACCCCTTTGAGAAATTGTTGGTGTTTGAAATCTAGAGGATTTCTAATTCATGGACAAAGGCAGGTGATTCCAGGGATAAATCAGTCTAATTAATAATCTTAACCGTTATCGTTTGGCAAAAGAAGAATCTAGAAAACATTATGTTTAGAGAACTTTGAAATGTACCAAATCAGAATCTGTTCAGTGTGTTTAACAGGTAATATATATATTATTATAGTATGCCTTTCCATCAAAGACTGTGCCCAGGGCAATTATAAATATGGCATTAAAGAATATACTACTTGAAAAGTATAAATTAAATACAGATCAGATTTTGGATATTTTTCTCTCCCTATCAAACAGAAAAGGGAATCCCTTTAAGTCAGGTGGCCAGGCTGAAAAGAGAACCAAGTAAAAATTTACCAGCAAAACTTGTGGAAAGATATAGATACTGAATAATATTACTGTAGATGGAAATGCAGAAAGATGCAGATGGAAATACCTTAATTGTCTCTTTGCAATATCTCTAATTTGTCTCTTTGCACTTGATTCCCAGGGCTATGACCGCTTATTAATAACATCTTGGGGGCATGATCCAGGAGTCGTCCCCACCTCAAATGTGCTTACTATGTTGAATGATGCTTTAACCCATTCTGCTGTCCTGATTCAGGTACAAAAGACTTCTATAAAAATAAGCTAAATAATTGAGTTCTGATAGATTTCCTGGCGGGGTGAAGGCAAAAAGATGAATGGGCAAAGAATGGCTGGCAGAGAATTCATTCCAATGTAGCTTATTAGAACTAAAGGACAGGGTTTGTTATCACAAGATACAAAGATTAGACTAGTTTTTCCTAACCTGGTACCTTCCAGATGTGTTGGATTAGACACAGATTACATCACCACAGCCAATATGATCTCTTCCTTCCACAAAATTCAATTTTCCATGGAGAAAAACATCACATTATTTTATGTGACATTGACCACCAGGATGCACTGCATGACCAGTTTTGCCCTTACTGGGAATTGTCAGTTGTGGGTAGCCAGATGTTATTCTGTGAGGTTCAACCCCTCTACTGGGAATTGAACTCATAAACCTTCACACTTGAGATGACTATATATAGTGCTTTAGGAGCTATCCAGGTACTAGTGCTCAGCAGATGCAGGAAAGGATATTTGGAAGTGCTAGATCTTAAAAATGGCCTATAAACCATGATACAGACAAATGTTTTTTTCTATTTCATTTGTATCATGCATTTTTCTAAAAGTACATCCTACCTGTACTTTATCCTGACAACAGCCTTGTAAGATACTGCTGAGAGAGAGTGACAGGTCCAGTCTCCTTGGAAGTTCTATGGGCACATAGAGAGTTGCCCCTGGATCTCCCCAGTCTTAGCCCAACAACTCTGACCAACATTCCAAAGCCACAAAATGACTGAGACAGCTTTGAAAATGCAGAACCAAAAGTTGTCAGAAGGATGTGGATTTCATACCTTAACTCTTACCTTGGCATTTAGGGACATGGCATACATGGTGTGGGGGAAACTGTCCATATACCATTTCCACTTGATGAAACAGAACAGCAAGGAGGTAAGCTGGAATTATTGAAAATAGTTTGTACATCATTGAATCAACATAGGATTTTGCCTCTCCACGGTAGTAAGGGAATGTTGCACAGTATCAAGCAGGGTGGGGGGATTTGTGCAGAAGTTGTTCTTATCACTTCCTGCCTCATGTTTCTAAGGAGCACCAGTACTTCTCTAGATTTCTTGCTCAGTTCTCTAGATTATCTTGTATCCTGAGAGGAAAACCTGTTCACTCTCAGTACAGACAATCCTCTACTTACATACAGGTTATGTTCCAAGAGGCTGTAAGTCCATTTTGTTCATAAGTCCAACCAAGTATAAAAAACATGCCTCCCAACATGCGACGGTGCTGCCAAGCGTACGTATGTGGGGCACCGTAAACTAACCCTTTCCTGCCTTCTCCCGCCTTCTGGGACCTTCAGTGTTAGAGTTGCAGACAGGTTTGTTCGTATCGGTTCGTAACTCAAAAGTTTGTAATAGAGGATTGTCTGTAATCAGGTTTTTATTAAATGTTTTGATTGTACTTTTTTTTCCCCAAAGAAAATATGTAAACTGAACAAAATGAAAACAGAAATCCCAAGATGAGAAGACACTATGAGCATTTTAAATCCCAAACTGAAAATTATGCCAACATACAATAATTCTCTAAATCTTTTTTCTATCCTTCTATCATTGTCTATTTAGTAAACTGATTTAATGTACTCTTTGGGGGGGGGGTGTCTAGATTTTTCCCGTCTCAATATGGGTGTTCACAAAGCATTGAAGATATTGAGAGAGAAGATGGATCTGCAACACTTCTGTGGCTACATAACCATGTTGAACCCTTTCAGTCACCACGTAAAGAGGAAGCTGAGTGATGCATCTGATGGAAAAGGTTGGTCCACAATGGTTGTCAGATTAGTAGGCTTTTTAATTTGAATTTGTGTGCATTCTTGTGTGTGGTGAGAATAGAGCAGAATGGTAGCAAGATTCCTCTGCATTCATTAAGACATATGCAGCCAAGGAACATATTCCAGAGCCTTACCTACGTAGCAATCCACAGCCTTTAGTTACAGCAAATGCAGTTCACGTGCATAATTTAAGTATTTATTTTCCTCTTAAGGTGAGCCAGAGCTTGCCCTGGGCTCAGATGTAAATGGAAGCACAGAATCATTTGAAATGGTCATTGAAGAGCCACCTATAGATCCTGCTGCTAAACCAAGTCCAGAAGGTAATCTCATCAGAATAGATTTTATTATTAGGACACCTAGAAGGAGAAGGAGAAGCTTTGGCCATAGATTGGTTGGTACTGGGCTTTGTGGTAGAACAAGTGGCAGAAGGAGGAAGGGCAGAGGAATGATTTTTATTCTCTGAGATGAATTTTCTGAATACACAGAACGAATATATTATAAAGCTGTTTTGGGGCATGTTTCATACATGCTGTTTTTGGGGAACATCAGAAAATATGGATGCATTCCTTATTGGATTTGCTCAGATAGACATGATGATGGGTGCTGATGCTGATAGCCATTGATGAACATCCCAGAGGAAAAAGATACAACTCTCCTGACTAGCTGTTTTTCCACTGTTTTCTCATCTGAGTAGAGTTCATTACTTGGCATAAGCAGTTCAGCCTCTTGAAGATACAAGAGGTGAAAGAGATCGTTATTGCATACAGATAGTCCTTGTTTAGTGACCACAGTTGGGATCAGCAGCTTAGGCATTAAGCGAAGTGGTCACTAAATGAAACAGCGACTGTGCTTACAATCTTACTTCAGCTTTCCTTTGCTTTACATACCTGTGAAGGTCATAAATGTGAGGACTAGTCGTGAAGTTACTTTTTCATCACGGCCACTAAACGAGGCAGTCTCTAAATGAGGACTACCTGTAGTTAGAAGAGCTGGCTATCATTGCTCTGTGCCATGCTTATCCTATTGGGATATTGAGGAATAGTTCCTTATAGGCTTTGTTTAAGTAGACTGCAAAACAGGAATGTCTTCTGGAAATAGGACCTTCTCTCAAGAATTAGCATTTCAAAATGCATCCAGAATCAAGGTAGAGATTCTTAATCTCGTGCACCTTTGGATTGTTTTAGTCTACATCTCAAGTCCATGCAAAAGTTGACCAGCGCTGCTCTGACCAGCATTAGCTCAGTGCTCTTTCACAGCTTTGCTTTCTGAGATGAATCAGTTGGTAAAACTACGGATTCCCCTTGGCCTCTTAACTTCATAATATTTACATTACTTCTTAAATGATCCCCCTTATGAGTAATGTGTATATCTATAGTTCACTATACAATGCTGTTGTCATAATAGTGTCAATTCTCAAAAAACTCTTCCATTTTTCATTCTCAGAATTATAAATAGTTGAAAACCACTGGGGCCGTTATTTTAGTTTATAAAATAGAATGGGTACTTCTAGTACTTAGTGTATGCAATAAGAAGGAAATAGAGACAATAAAATAGCTATTGAGTTTGAGATGTCTCAGGACAGTCAGCCAAATTTCTTGAATAGTAACTGACTTCCAGAGAGAAAGGGAGAAATCAAATTGAGTACTGTAGACGTTTGTCGTCAGATGTTGTCATCAGCATGTACAGTAGCCACCAATCACTAACACTGTAGTTTGAAGGGACCTAAATTCCCAAAGTGATTAAAAAGTAATCAATGTTGGCAGCTTCTCTTAAGTCGGTTCCACCTTGCCCTTTCTCGGTATCTTTTCAGCTCCTACAACAGAACTGGAGTGGGTTCCCCTGGAATTGAGTTTTG